TGCATAGATACAATAAAGTCTACTTCCGGTTAGGTATATTTATTAGCTAGAAGAGCTATCTAATGGAAGAGTGTAAAGCATATTGTCATTGATGCATCCACTATGGAAGCTGAATTTGTGGCATGCTTTGAGGCCATAGTTCATGCTAAATGACTGCGGAAATTTATTTAAGGACTTGGGGTAGTCGACAGTATTGTCAAGCCGCTGAAAATTTATTGTAATAATTCTGCAGCAGTCTTCTTTTCTAAAAACGACAAGTACTCTAAAGGTGCTAAACATATGGAGGTGAAATACTTTGTCGTTAAAGAAGAAGTTCAGAAACTTAGAGTGTCAATTGAGCATATTAGCACTAACCTTACGATTGCAGACCCTTTGACGAAAGGATTACCGCCCAAAATATTTACTGGTCATGTTAAAAATATGGGCATTATGTCTGCAAATGATTGTTGAACATTATGTTATTAATAAAGTCTCAGTTTTTGATACTCTGAACTCATTAATGTTTAAATTTCTGATTAATATTTATTTCCATACTTATGTACACATGTGAAAGGATAGTAATATTTGAAATAAAATTTTCTTTCTAAATGACATTATTATGTGATTCTCATTAATGTGTCATATTATGTATAAGGCTAATATAGTAGTACATGGAAGTGACTATATCGCATAAATGATGTACAACCGTCATGACTCTTATTAGTTCTTGTTCTTAATTATGACTTGTAATTTAATGAATATGGAAAACATATTCCGATTATGCGCATTATGTTTGATGTTTAAAAAATCATGAATTGTATTGTCACATGAGACAAGTGGAAGAATGTAAGAATGTCTCTTGTCTCTTGTGACATGAAGGGACATACCATTTATTTGTTGGATTGACATAACTCTTGAATGGAGAGTTGTCAATGAAGTGGTAAGACTCTTGAGAAAGAGTCTATATATAGTGCTTGATGGAAGCACTATACTTATCAGAAAAGGACTTGAAATATTGTCCCTATCTCTGCCCATAAAGATTGCCTCTATCAGCCATCACTAAAGGAGGAGCATAGAAAGGAAGGGAAAGAGATAGAAGATTTTCTCTATTGACAAGAACAACACACAACACATAGTGGAGGATTATATCGTCATGGAAAGAGGTAATCCATAACCATTCTTGTTATGTGAAAGCTATAAATTCTAAAGATCTATTTTCATGGTTTTCATGGATGAACTTACAAAAGGAACTTAGCGGATCCTCTCATCAAAGGTTTACCAAAATAAATAGTCCTTGAATCATCAAGGGAGATGGGGCTTAAGCCTCTGTGTTGAATAAAGTATGGTGAATGTCTTTGTGGTCAAACGAAGCTATATGATTATTCTATTTCACTACACTTATCATCTTTGTGACTTGTGGTAGTGTATTGTATATAGGTTGAGCTTTTAGCTCTTAATGAGTTGATAGCCCTGGTTGTTGGGTGATTCTTATGAGACAGACTTGATGGACTCACCGCTTGGTGTAACACCCCAAATTTTAAGTCTTTAAAATTATAGTAACAATCCTGGAAGCCTCGCTTGAGCGAGAGTTGTCTCGCCTGGGCGAGAAATGGCAATTTTGGGCTGTTGACACAGTGTAATCGATTACACACTCATGGTAATCGATTACATGCAGATAAACTAATCAGGCCTGTGCATCTGACACAGTGTAATCGATTACACACTCCTGGTAATCGATTACACACTCCTGGTAATCGATTACACACTCCTGGTAATCGATTACACACTCCTGGTAATCGATTACACACTCCTGGTAATCGATTACACACTCCTGGTAATCGATTACACACTCCTGGTAATCGATTACACACTCCTGATAATCGATTACATCGTATTAAAAGCATCAGATATATGCATCTGACACAGTGTAATCGATTACACACTCGTGGTAATCAATTACACACTCGTGGTAATCGATTACATCGTATTAAAAGCATCAAATATGCGCATTTTTCACGTTGTAATCGATTACACCATGTTGGTAATCGATTACAACCCGACGACACCTCTTTAAAACAGAAACCCAAACACATTTTAGGGGGAGAACTTCGTAGAGAAAAGAGAGAGGAGAGCTTTTCAAGAGCAAGTAGCCTTAGGACTCATCTTAGAGCTTGAGAAGAGGTAAACCTCTTGTTCCTAACTCTTCTTCTTCCTCTCTAACTTGTTTTGGGTATGTTGGATTTATTTTCAAAACATGAGAAACCATGGAAACTCATCCTTTAGAGTTATAGTTCGTTTTATGTTGTTTTTATCTTGTAAACTCTTGGTTTAGAGATAGTATCTTAAGAATGCAAAGGGTTGTGGGTTGAATCATGAAAACCCCAAAAAAAAACCTAAAAGTGAAAATGTAGTAAAAGGAGAGAATGAGTAAAATGTTAGAGGTAGAAGATGAGTCTACCCCCAAATATTGAAATATGAGATGTTATGCATGTTTTAGATGGTTGAATATTGATGATGAATA